GAAACTCCAAATGTAAGTGACTATCTTGTGAAAATCTCAATTCATTGATGCTACTGATTTTTGTTTGTTTCTTTCCAATGTCACATTAGTTATAACTGAATATATGCAATGAATACAAATACACTAAATTTGCTATCTGTCTCCAATGCTATATGTGGTGGAATGCATAGAACTGCAGTTTTCATAGATTGGTTGTTTAGACTTGCAATGAGCGAGAGCAACTGTTTTTTGCTCGTTTTCTACGACTGTCTACTATATTTTTAGTAGTAGAAACTCGGGGAAAACAGAACGCTCCTTTAAATTCTCTCCTAACATTAACTTAGCAACATATAATTACAAGATTCAATGAATATTTGGACAAAATTAAAGTCTAGTTTATAAATTCATTATCGTCTCATGTATCTTACCCTACAACACCATGCATATTTGCTTTTATAACGACATTAAAACGCAAAAAGTAGATGAATTTTTTGTTCAAATGCATAGAAGGATTACTCATTGTCTTTGTGAAAGGTGAAAAGCTCCTAAGGGGCCAATTCACAAGAAAAATTTTAGTCATGACTTGATATTAAGAAATGTTAACAACTCAAACTTAGTCACTTTAACGTTGAGGAAAGAAAGGTGAATTCTGTCTTTTCCTGACAGATTACTGAAGCATGAGTTGCATGGAATAATCAACTAGTCTTAATGGCAGGCCTCGTAATATGAAAGCTTTCAATGTAAAATGCTTTAATAACGATGTTAAGCCTTTGATCGTTTGAAACTTGTTACATCTTTCAAACTTAATCGACTAAAGCTATTCGTGCAATGTTTGGTGAATGTTCTACCATTTGGATAGACCAACAGAAAACATATAACAATTTGCTCATTCTCAATATATCTGATTGTGAATTTAAAACGCCAATTAACGTCATATGTAGATTTCTTTATCATGAAATGTCGTACATGTGTTTCATATTTTCTAGCTTATATTGTAGATCCACATGATGGAGAAATCCCTTTACCACCTGTGTCATTCACTTCAATTACTCTTACTAGTTTGTCATTACTCATGTGTCATGGTGATTCATGGCCAAAAATGTTCATATGCAGTTTGGATTCTTTGTGGATGTCAGTTGTTTGTTTATATGATGATGATGGGCCCCATTGTTATATGAACTCACCTGGAAGTGGTCAGCTGACATTCATAGAAGATCAAATCTGCACTAAGCATTCTTTTGAGTGATGATATAACTGGGGTTTTGAAGTGAGCCTTTTCCTTCGCTTGAAATTACCATTAGAGTGCATTGTAAACAGTAATCTATCGAAATGGCGATTCATAATACCAGTAGCCCTTTTATTGGTTACGTCGATTAATTTGTGTATGGAATGGTACAAACATATTGAATGGACATTTGCATAACGGCATTTGTACGTGAACATTAATATTGAAATGATTGGACTATAATCTACGAAGATGGAAAACAAGCGAGTGGAAAAACATGATCCATGTCTTGTGGTTTTAAGTTGAGTAGATAAGTATTAAAATTAACTTATAGCTATGAGTAACTGCATGAGATATTCAAAAGGATCCCGATGGTCTATTTTTATAATTTGAAACATAATCATGACGAACACCCATATTAGCTAAAAATGTCAATAAAAGATGTCAACTGCTGTGAGAAAATATCTGGCTTTCACTCGCTACTTTTACTAATTTTATTTAACGTTTATAAACCAAATTGCAATGCTGCAAGTAGGATTCATTGAATTTTTAAGATAAAAATATTACGATATACACGTTACAATATACACGTTACGAGATACACGTTACGATATACACGTTACGATATACACGTTACGATATACACGTTACGATATACATGTTACGATATACACGTTACGATATACACGTTACGATATACATGTTACGATATACATGTTACGATATACACGTTACGATATACACGTTACGATATACATGTTACGATATACACGTTACGATATACATCGTTACGATATACATGTTACGATATACACGTTACGATATACACGTTACGATATACGTTACGATATACACGTTACGATATACGTTACGATATACATGTTACGATATACATGTTACGATATACACGTTACGATATACATGTTACGATATACACGTTACGATATATACATGTTACGATATACACGTTACGATATACATGTTACGATATACATCGTTACGATATACACGTTACGATATACACGTTACGATATACATGTTACGATATACATGTTACGATATATCCACGTTACGATATACATGTTACGATATACGTTACGATATACATGTTACGATATACATGTTACGATATACATGTTACGATATACACGTTACGATATACATGTTACGATATACATGTTACGATATACACGTTACGATATACATGTTACGATATACATGTTACGATATACACGTTACGATATACATGTTACGATATCCACGTTACGATATACATGTTACGATATACACGTTACGATATACATGTTACGATATACACGTTACGATATACACGTTACGATATACACGTTACGATATACGTTACGATATACACGTTACGATATACATGTTACGATATACACGTTACGATATACACGTTACGATATACACGTTACGATATACACGTTACGATATACACGTTACGATATACACGTTACGATATACATGTTACGATATACACGTTACGATATACACGTTACGATATACATGTTACGATATCCACGTTACGATATACACGTTACGATATACATGTTACGATATACACGTTACGATATACACGTTACGATATACATGTTACGATATACATACATGATATACATGTTACGATATACATGTTACGATATACACGTTACGATATACGTTACGATATACACGTTACGATATACACGTTACGATATATGTTACGATATACATGTTACGATATACACGTTACGATATACACGTTACGATATACACGTTACGATATACACGTTACGATATACATGTTACGATATACACGTTACGATATACATGTTACGATATACATGTTACGATATACACGTTACGATATACACGTTACGATATACATGTTACGATATGTTACGATATACATGTTACGATATACACGTTACGATATACATGTTACGATATACATGTTACGATATACACGTTACGATATACATGTTACGATATACACGTTACGATATACACGTTACGATATACACGTTACGATATACACGTTACGATATACACGTTACGATATACACGTTACGATATACACGTTACGATATACACGTTACGATATACATGTTACGATATACACGTTACGATATACATGTTACGATATACACGTTACGATATACATGTTACGATATACACGTTACGATATACACGTTACGATATACACGTTACGATATACACGTTACGATATACATGTTACGATATACATGTTACGATATACATACGTTACATGATATACACGTTACGATATACACGTTACGATATACATGTTACGATATACACGTTACGATATACACGTTACGATATACACGTTACGATATACACGTTACGATATACACGTTACGATATACACGTTACGATATACACGTTACGATATACACATGTTACGATATACACGTTACGATATACACGTTACGATATACATGTTACGATATACACGTTACGATATACATGTTACGATATACACGTTACGATATACATGTTACGATATACATGTTACGATATACACGTTACGATATACATGTTACGATATACACGTTACGATATACACGTTACGATATACATGTTACGATATACACGTTACGATATACATGTTACGATATACGTTACGATATACACGTTACGATATACATGTTACGATATACATGTTACGATATACGTTACGATATACACATTACGATATACATGTTACGATATACACGTTACGATATACACGTTACGATATACACGTTACGATATACACGTTACGATATACATGTTACGATATACACGTTACGATATACATTACGATATACATGTTACGATATACATGTTACGATATACGTTACGATATACACGTTACGATATACACGTTACGATATACATATTACGATATACGTTACGATATACATGTTACGATATACACGTTACGATATACATGTTACGATATACGTTACGATACGTTACGATATACACGTTACGATATACACGTTACGATATACATGTTACGATATACACGTTACGATATACGTTACGATATACACGTTACGATATACATGTTACGATATACACGTTACGATATACATGTTACGATATACATGTTACGATATACACGTTACGATATACACGTTACGATATATACGTTACGATAAAAATGTTACGATATACACGTTACGATATACACGTTACGATATACACGTTACGATATACACATTACGGTATACATGTTACGATATACGTTACGATATACGTTACGATATACATGTTACGATATACGTTACGATATACACGTTACGATATACATGTTACGATATACGTTACGATATACATGTTACGATATACATGTTACGATATACATGTTACGATATACACGTTACGATATACGTTACGATATACACGTTACGATATACATGTTACGATATACATGTTACGATATACACGTTACGATATACACGTTACGATATACATGTTACGATATGTTGATATACACGTTACGATATACATGTTACGATATACATGTTACGATATACACATTACGGTATACATGTTACGATATACATGTTACGATATACACGTTACGATATACATGTTACGATATACATGTTACGATATACACGTTACGATATACACGTTACGATATACATGTTACGATATACATGTTACGATATACACGTTACGATAAAAATGTTACGATATACACGTTACGATATACACGTTAAGATATACACGTAAAAACTGCGCTTTGAAAAAAGTGAAAGAGACCTACTGAGGCGCCTGGATTCGACGGAGCAAGACAATGCTTGAAAATCAGGAATTAAAGTTTTGTTCTTTTCAAAATATATAATTTCTGATTTTGTTCATTCATTATGCTGACATTTATAATGTGTTTTTTTATAGAGTAGCTATGTCTGTAGGGGTAATAACTAGACAATGAAAGAACGATCAAGTTGGACAGAAGCACGAAGAAACAAGCGTCCTTATTGAAAGATTCTCACTTGCGACTTTCGTTATGCATACTATTAATCAGTATAACGCATTTCTAAATTCAACCGTTAAAAATTTCCGTAAAACTAAATTTTCACAATTGTCAAATTTTCGCACAAAAGACACGAGTGAAAGCCAGCTATTAATGAAGGTCTTAATGAAGTAACAAAGAAATTTTGATCGAATATAATCTAGTATACATCAAAAATAATTCGTATGCAAGTCACGACGTCACTTTGGTCATTTTATTTTTCATTGTTATTGGTAGGTGAACGATCAGGTCGAACGTACTGAATGAATTTTTCATATGATTTATGTATGAGCTGCTATTAGTTTTCATTTGTCGTCTATTCATTAAAATTTTTGTTAACATTCTGCTCTCTTTCATTTTTTGTTCTCTACTAAAGTTTTTGTTTCGTTTGTTCGAACACAAAATATATGCGGTGTCAATAAAAATGGTAGTCAGCCGACTTTTTTGTCGCCGCTTTTTTATCGACGCTTTTTTTGTCGTTTTGCAAATTTAAGATACAAACGACGAAGCTACGATCTGACTACGCTGCATGTTAAAGTAGATCATCGGGATCATTGAAAACAACAAAAATATGAAACAAGTTAAAACAACAAAAATTTTACTAAATTTTTCTAAATTTTGATCTCTTTTATTGTAGGGTTTTTTACCGGATCCAATGTTATTTTGTACTCTGCATGACGTTCTCATTTATGTATTTTTATTTCTATAACAATTGTTTTTAGTCAGTGATGTATACTTAGTTATATAACTAGAATGCTCTACATAGATGTCATTAATGTTTTATAATACTGTTTGTTGAAGGAGATCCTGACTCACTCTTTATCTTCGTTTGCTATTTAAAAGTGTTTATGTAACAAAACTTACATTGATAAAAGATTGATGTTACAATAAGGTATGAATTATGATCACCATTTTTAAACTGATCGCGTTCTTTATATTAAATCTCTCATGTTTGTAAGGTATGTGACATGTAAAGAACTAAAGATAGCATAATTTTGTCAACACGGTCGTCATATATGAAGTCTTACTTCTAAAACGAAGGTAATTTGTCGAAAGTAAAGCGAGATTCTCAAACTATATTACTAATTTTACAAAAAAAATTTGCTACTGAAGCATCTCGATAATGTACGACTAAACATTAAAGAAAAATCATAATTAAGTTGATACACCAACTTTCTAACTATTGACAATAAGCTGCATGGTAAAGGACAGTAAAACCTGTTCAAAAATATGGAGGAGTCAGAATAAGGGGCACATGTTATGTCCAATCATGCATCGCCTCCCTTCTTTGCTGACGCCACTTTTGACTAATCTCTGTGTGTCTAGCAAAATGTTGATAGTTGTATACAACAAAGCATTTCGTTTAAAAGTAAGACAATTTGAAAAATAAGCAAATGTTAAACACAGGAAGAATGTATTTACACAGAGGAAGAACGCGACCGGATTTATTTTTTGTGAAATTTTCATTCATGCAACACAGAGATTTTTCACAGTTTTACTTTTAATCATTTTAGTTTAACAGTTTTAATGCTGAATTTCATTGCATCCTTTACTGTTGTATCTACAGTGTTTTTAATGATCATAAGTAATTATAATTGCGTGTAGTTGATGTTTGATATGTATTCATAATTTACAATGTTTTATTTAATAACAAAGGTTTTTTATAATAAGAATTGACTTATGCAATAATATACATGCATGGAATTTTTGATTAATGAAAGGAAAAAACCATTCACAGTTTCGAAATCTGTGTTATAATCATTGACATTTGAATCTTGTCTTAAATAGGTGATTCTCTATTCCTGAGTTAAAACTTGTGAAACTTTATAACGTTTAACAGCATTTCTTTGGAATTCGACATATCACAATTTTATTATGTACTCTGCATGAGGTTCTTATTTATGTATTTTCATTTCTATAATAATTGTTTTTTGTCAGGGATGTATACTTAGTTATAGAATAATACTGTTTGTTGAAGGAGATCCTCACTCACTCTTTATCTTCGTTTGTTATTTAAATGTGTTTATGTAACAAAATTCATATGGATAAAAAGTTGATGTTTCAATAATGTATGAATTAATTATGATCACCATTTTTTAACTGATATGTATGTAGTCGCGTTTTTTATATTAAATTTCTCATCTTTTGTTAGGTACGTAACATGTAAAGAACTAAAGCAAGCATAATTTCGTCCACACGATCGTCGTATATGAAGTCTTATTTTTAAAACAAAGGTAATTTTACGTAAGTTAACCGAGATTTTGTATTTATATTTCTAACTTAACAAATTTGATACCAAAGCATTGCGTAGTATGAAGTATGACTGTAAACAAATGAATGTTTATTTCCATTCCAAATGAAAATCGTTTGAATGATTCTATAAGTGACTTTTAAAGCTATATTTAATACCACGACTGGAAAGTAGGTTTCATTTTTTGTTTCAAATTATCCACTATAAAAATTGCGGCTCTTACACGAAGAAAAAGTTTGATAATAAATAATTCTGAGTCAGCGATGTGCTTGACATTCACAGAAGCCACGTCATAATGTGACATTTCCTTTCAAATATAATTAAACTTAAGTAAACAGTACAATGTACAAATGTAAAGTAAAGATTAGGTTCCAGTGATCAAAATGAACGCCAGATAACGTACATATTTCATCATCATTCATTTTGCACGTAATTTCGTTTTAGACGAACTTTTATTTAGCATGTACACTGAGAAACTGAAATCAAGATACTTGTTTTGTTTTCATACGTGTCTAACTGTTTCAGTTACTTTAATTAAATCGTGTAACAACACAAAGTCGACAAATTTCACTGACTGTCAGGTCAGGCCCGCCGTGAGGTGATAGGCAAGGGGGCATTTTGCCTTGCGCTAGTAATATAATAGGGGCCAGCGCCTCTCCATCTGGACACATGAATATTGCAAAATTAAAGTTTATAGAAAAAGTAATGAAGGATTTGTGTATTATTTGTAGTTTTCTTTGCTATCTAATCCTGCATAAGACATTCATCAATTGTTAAGTTTTTAGAAATTGTCGTAGCATCTTCAAACGGAATCACGCTTTACGTGTTATCAATATGAGCAGGCATGTCGCTAGAATGTAAAATTTGGGGGAGCAACAACATTTTTGGGGGGGGAGAGCAGTTGTAGACGTCAAGTTATACTGTATTGTAACAATAATATAATTTATCACTAGTTAGTTTGTGTCGGTAGCCGCTGTGCATGCGCAGCTAACCACTATGCCATACTGAAAAAGTGTCTGAGGGAGGCAGTGAGGCAGGCAGTATTTGTTCGTCGTGATATCATCGGCTGTGTCATCGGTGATAGTCCCATATGCAAACGATGACGAATAGAATTGTTTTAAGTAAAGTCAATACTTATGTTGTTCTTTAATTACTTATGCCTCATCTACTTTTCTTTTTCTTTTATGCACAAAGTTTATTTTGCTTAATGATATTATTATTTTTTCTCAAGTGTCTCTGCGGGCCAGATTGAGAGGCCTAACGGGCCGCATCTGGCCCGCGGGCCGTAGTTTGGAGACCCCTGCTTTAGAGCGTATAATCTGCACTTTGTTTTAGTGACTATAGTCAAATCCTTGCAGCTGAAAATATCATTCATTTATACGCTTTACTGGTGATTACAGACGTCAAATATATCTCATTTGGGCAAAAAATACAAGGAACTTGATACTCTGTGCAGTCCGTACTTGTATTTTTTTCTGTATTTTATTCATATGTCGCGTTGTTTATCTCTCACCCTGTGTTCTGTGTTTTGGTGAGGAAAATGTAAAGCAGATAGGAGATAGTTTTCTTTATTTTCATTTCAATTAGTAATGATGACGATTTGGATTTAACAGATTGTCAAACAATGATGAAGAATTTAAATATATGATTAGAGTCAAGCTATGGACCTATGGGGACTACTGCAGTTTAGCGGATACCTTGCACGCTGACCCAAACCCATTGAGTTCTATAATAACTGGAGGGGCTAACTTTACTGGGGCGAGGATGCCAAAAAAATGGCGGCCAAAGGACGTATTTCCGCTGAAATGATCGCTTTGCAGAAAAATAATATTCTCGACCTCCCCCTGGTGTCTATAGTAAATTATAAAGAATTTTTCAAAAACAAACATGATATCACAGAATACGGATATCTTTAGTTCCATATTTTGTGACGATATCTTTTTTGGCATTTCTTTTATAATGCCAACACTTCAATCGTTCAATTGTTGGATTTCGTAGTTTCCACAAAAAGGAACATATCGCTTCTCACAGGTGAGATAGTTGTTTGTTTCGTTAGTCCGTCAACGATTGAATAGCAATTATACATGCACTTGAAAAGCCATAAAATACATATTACAGATCGTATTTTGTAAGACTGACTTGAACGCCAAATATACTGATGTTTTCCTGTTTTTGTTTATAAATTCTGCATACTTTTGTGTCATTTGTTAATGCATGAAATCGTAAATTTACCCAGTTATTTGCAAAATAGTTTCCCTAAAGCAAAAAAGACCCTGCACACATTTTGCTCTGTGAGTAAGTATCAAAAAGAAATAATCAGCCCCAACGGTACCCATGATTTGGAGCAGAGCTTGTTATGTTCTATTTGCTGACAACATGCAGGGAAGATGAAGGAGTAAAGATGACTGGAAGATGTTATTGACCAGGCAGAGTCTTAAAAAATGATAATGCTGTAAAGATAATCGATTTATTGTCTGCCCTATCCAGAGTTATTTAATTTGATCGTGGTCAAATTCTATTGATGGAGACAATGGATTCACTAAAGATGCCTTGAATGCTTTGAAGTTTAAGTTCATGAACCAAATAAAGATGGCAAGGTTGTGTGTGTTTTGATGCTTAATGAAAGGTCAATTCACAAACATGTAAAATGGAAGGCCATAAAGTTTGTGTCTATGTAAACATTTGTACTGAGATTGATGATGACTCAATGCAGATGTGAAGCTTCAAACTGTATAAGCCATTGGGTTTTATGTAACCTAATGTTTAAATCATGTCATATCTTTATCAAAATATTTTAGTTGAGTGTTGTTTGAATGTTACTAATATCTAATGCACTACACTGAAGCATTAAAGATTCAGTGATGAAACTTGAAGTTACTGTACTGTATATTTCTTATATATTTTTTATATTTCTTTAAGAAAAATTTGAGCTTATTTACCTATTAGAGTACAGAATGGAGATTTATCATATGCATTATTGCTGCTTTTCTAAAGAAAAATTTTTCATTTTTCAAAGCTTTTCTACAAATTTTTTGCTTCTTATTTCTTATCATGAGATTGATGATATAGAGGTAATATAATCCAATATCTTTCAAATTTCTAAAAAGCTGTTAAGCTTCTAGAATAAAAGTACACTATAGGTATGTAATTCATTTGGTTTTATTGCCTTGCTATGACATATCTACTTGCACTTCATCATTCTTGTATGAAGAAAACACCAGATGTGGATACTCAGAGAACAAAATGCACTACCAACTGCTTATGAAATTTATTATTGATGTGAAAACTGTGTTAATCATTCAAATTATAGTGCACTTATATTGCAAATATAGGAAAAACAAAACAAAGTGAAAAAGAAAGGTAGAAGTATTAAAACTACAAATGAATTATAAACACCATTGGAAGCATAAGTGTTTTTATGATTATTTGCATTTTGCCCAATTCATATATCAATACAGCAAAATCAAAATGTGCTACAACTTTACAAGTATTTGATGCAATTGCACTTCAGAACATCACAAAAAGGTTACTTAAAGTAATTTCTATACAATATTGTTTGTTTTCATTTACCAAACCTATGCAGACTTAAGTCTTTTTGAAATTTAATATGAAACTCAATTACAAAAAATCCGTAAATATCCAGAGATTTAATATGTACTTTTTTAAAGAAACAAGTAAAAATCTTACAATTGTGGCGAAAAAAGCCATTGCCCATTGCATGAAAAGAAGCAAAATAGCAATGATAACAAACAAGCTAACTTCTCTCTCGTGAACCGTGGAGATGAACTATGATATACTTTTTTGTATAGACTAAAGAGTTTAAATGTTCAAACAAGTTTGACGCTGGTAAGAAAACGACGCACATCTGCATTCATACATGTGTAGCCGACATATAGGTATTTCGTCGATAGTTATAAACGCATCCTCGTGGAAACAGATAACTGACAACCACAGTTGACTTGCTGTTATGAATTTAAGGTTTTACCTTGATTTTCATCAAAAATGCTTGCCGAATCCCAAATACACACACATACATTTTCCTCACTCTTTTCCTCAGGAGGAGTGGGAAATTGGAAATTTTCGGAAAAGCGGTCAATTTCGGTAAATCTCAGCGGCAACGGACGAAATCCGCCATTTTTTTGGCATCATCAGATATCTAAGGCCGCGCTTGAGTTAGCCGCTCCAGTTATTATAGAACTCAATGCCCAAACCCTACCCTATAATCCCAAGCAAAAACGAGCCTGCGGTCACAAACGCCTCGGATGTCCGCTAAACTGCAGTCTAGCAAAAATTTTAATTGGAACAGATTCATCAGCAATATGGTCCTATCAAAATGTTAAAAAGCAAATATTCATACAACACAGCAAACCAGTTTGATATATCCTGTTAAAGAACGACGTATCTCTTCACAACACGATTGTTAGAAATAAGATATATTATTTATTAACTAGGAGTTACTATTGCAAAGGTATATGCTGCCTCTCGCGCCGATTAGGCGAAAATATCATTTAAGTGTTTTTCATTGTATTAAGTCTACTATTTTCATGCCTTGATGTAAGATCAGTTACTGGGTCATGTCACTTTAGGCAATGAACAAAATTTTTATCGAGAGAAAATGAAGCACACAAGTCTTTATAAATGACTTGTTGTACTATTTTTAATTTATCCTTTTGACTTTTGTGAGCATTTTGTACATTTTAAATTATACCTTTTTTCACAAACTCATTCATTATTTATAGAATAAAAAATGGTTTCGCCACCTAAAAAATTAAAGATTGAGGAAAATGGATCTCATTGTGCTCATTTTGTACATTGCAAATTGATGCTTTTAGCACAAACTCATTCTTCCTTTCTAGCTTGAAAAATGGCTTCACCACCTAAAAAACTGAAGTTTGATGCAAACGGATCTCGTTTAAGTAAACTTTTGATAAATAAAGGAACCCAAGCCTTAAAAACAACATTGCAAATCATTATAAACCTTCAATCATCAAACTTAAAAGATAAACTTAATGATCCTTCTACAAAGAGTAAATTGACACCACTAAAATTCAAAGTCATCAGCAGAG